CAAACGCAAACAATAAAAATATTTTGGCCTTTCATACATATCGATCATGGTAACCAAATTCAATTATTTATATAGGTTTAATATTATAGATTGAAGCCATTCAAATTGTTGACAGCCATCCAAAAATTTAATTTATATTTGTGCCTTTTAAAAGTAAAAATAGTCCCAAAAAGACATAAACGATAACTTTTTCACCCATATTAATCGTAGAAACCAAGTTCAATCAATCGGACAAGTTTAATATTAAGTATTGAAGCTATCCAAATTGTTTAAATAGAACAATAACAACAAATTTATATTTTTACCTAAATAGACGTAAACAATAGCTTTTTCATACATATCATTCGTGTCAACTAAGTTCAAAACTTTCAATAAGTTTAATATTATGTATTGAAACTATCAAAACTATTATAACAGAATAATAACTGTTAATTTGCATATTTATTTTTTAATGGCACAAATAGTTCATTTATTGGAATAAGTTTAAAATTATAAACTTACAATTTCTTTTTGCTTTCTTGCAAAACTTTTTGATTTATTTGTGTAGCTATATTTCTGTTGCTTTCTGCTATCAATCATAATCTGTTCTCTTTCCTGTCATACAAAATAATTGCATATATAATAGAAATACAAATATTACTAATTTAAAGCATAAAACACTTTCATTATTTTATTATATTATACAAAGTTATAAATTAGTACCTCTCATTTTCTTGAGAACCAAAATCTAACTAATTATTTATATTGCTACTTAATCACATTACGGGGTAGATTTTTCATCGTCGCTTCTGCAGTAGTATTTCAATCGAAATACTTATTCTTCAAATTATGCTTATAATCTTTTCATTTCTTTCCCAATAACTTAAGCACAAATGAAGTTAGTATTTTAAGTACAAATATTGACTGTAATAATACAAAAAAAAGTTTTAATCAATAAACTAAATTTAAAATAATTAATTTTTGTATATGTAATTAATTATACTAATACCTCAATAAAGTTTAAAGCATCGGCCTTAACTTATGTTGGAACTTTATATCATGTTTCATAATGAATAGAAAATTTCATTCCATTATGGGCAAGCATGCCTAGAAATCCAGCCAACAGTTGAGCCTTTTTACCAATTGATTGCCTATAAGAGTTTACAGACACTACAATACACTCATTCGAAGATAGTGCAAACAATTTCTTCAAAGTTGTCTGACCTTTGATCCTCCGTTGACCCTTGTTATTAACTGTAAAAAATAAAAAATAAATTAGTAAAATGGCAATACTTTTATCATTATATATCTTTTATTTCTTCATAAGTAATTTTATTTATGTATTAAGTAATTTTTTTTTATTTTGAATAATATCTGCATTCGATAAGAAGATAAAGAAACTGAAATGAGTGTCATTATCGATAGATATAAAATTTATTCTTTTATGCTGAGTTTGTGTAGATAAATGTTTCATAAACTCACTCAATTTAATTTTCAGGTACCTTGTCAATTCGATAATACTGAATGCGGATATTATGTCATTCGTTTTATGGGGGAGATAGTTTTATATAATTTTGTGACCACACCATTTAAGGTTAGTATAAATTTTATAAACTTATTATATCTTCAAAAAAATAAAAAGCTAAATTATGTTCTCATTTATTAACATTTACTTTTTATATTTTTTTTAGTGGGAGGGTAAATAAAGCTTTACAGTAAAGGAATTGGATGAAGTCTGTAAAGAATGCTGTGAGTATGTATTATTATTTATCAATGTTGATAAACCTTGAGGTTAGACATTATTGGTTGAATGTAAATATATGAGGAACATATTGTTATAATGTTTTTAACATGCCATGTTGAATGAAAATTTTAAGTTTGTAGATTGGGGTATTGGTTTAATATTGATGGTATACTTAATATGAATACACTATGTGTACTTAATATATTATTGAGTACGATTATTTTAGAAAAGTGTATTAATATGGTAACGTTATCAGTTTTAAATTTGGATGTGCGGTCAATTTATTGAAATACAACAATGTTCATTATGTAAATTTTAAAATGTAATTCGTAGTATCACATATATAAACTAAATATTTTCTGCATATAAATATTCAACTGACTTCAAATATTTTTTAGGCATAAACTTACAATTGACCTGATATATACAATATCAAAAATATTTTTTTGATAGGATTAATGGATGCGTTTTTAGCAAGAAAATGCCTTGAATCATCCCTAATAAAATGTTATTGAAGGTATTTTTTACCAAAATTGCATTCAATAATCCCACCTAAAAATTTATTATGTGGAATATTAAATGTATTTTGGGCAAAAAATGCCTTTAAGAATTCGTTCCAATTTTTTGTATGGATTATTGAAAGTGTTTTTTTAAAAAATCTCCTTCAATAATACCAACTAAAAATTAATTGAATGGATTATTGAAGGCGCTTTTAGCAAAAAATACCTTCAATAATCCTTTTCGTATTTTTCGTATGGATTATTAAGAGCATTTTTTTACCGAAAATGCCTTGAATAATCCGTAATAAAATGTTATTGAAGGCGTTTTTGAAAAAAATCGCCTTCAATAATCTGCCCATTCAAATTTATTGGCTTAAATATTAAAGGCATTTTGAGCAAAAAATACTTTCAAAAATTCGTTTCAACTTTTGTGTATAGATTATTGAAGGCGTTTTTGACAAAAATTACCTTTAATAATCCAAATTAAAAAATTATTGATTGGTTTATTGAATGTGAGTTGACCAAAAATGCCTCCAAGAATCGGTTCAATATTTATCGTATAGATTATTAAGGGTATTTTTCTATTAAAAGCACATTCAATATTCTCTCCAAAAAATTTTAAAGCAATTGGTGAAAGCGTTTTTGCCTATAAAATACCTAAAATAATCAATTATAAATAATCTTTGCAAAAATCTAAAAAAAGTTAAAAGAAGGGATCGAATCTATCACCTTATGGTTAACATCCGTACGATCTTAAAATTTTGATATGATATTTATTGAAGGCGTTTTTGACCAAAAATGCTTTCAATAAGCTTGTGAAATTTTTTGATAGAATTATTAAAGTCGTTTCTTGTAGAAAATACCTTTAATAATTGCATACATTTTTTTATGAGAAAATTATTGAAGGCATTATCTATAAAAAACACCTTCAGTAATTCTCTATAATTTTTTTAACGGGATTATTCAAGCCGTTTTTTTTTTTAAAATGCCTTTAGTATTTACTCAAAATTTTAAGACAGGATTATTCAAGGCGTTTTAGTCGATAAACGCCGTTAATATCAAGTATTGAGTGGTGTTTATAAGTAACAACACAATTATTTAAATATTTAATGGTATTTTGATAATAAACGTATTAAATTTTATAAAAATACGAAAGTTAACAACGTTTGTAAGTGAAATGTCACTACAAAATTATTACTAATTTTTCATTTTCTTATAGTAATATATATATACCACCCAATTAATATTATGATAAAAATAATTATTAATTTTAACTATTTAAATATTGATTCTCGATTTTTTATCAAATAAGAAAAAAACAATAGCAAAACTTTTAGTGTTTAGCAAATAAATTGAAGAAAATATTTTTTAATAAAAAAGATTTTTATAATTCTTAAAAATTTAAACTTATTTTAGATGAACAATATCATTTATTATATATTATATATAAATTATCATTTAATTGTAACTTAATATTTATAAATATATAATTATATATTAGATAAATAATTAAAAAATAAAATTATAATTATAAAAAAATTAATTAAAAATTCCGTATATTGTACGGATTAAAAAGCTAGTTGTAATAACATAATTATCGTGGAGTAGACCCAATTACCCTTAATCGTTTGACACTTGTACTTCAACAATACGTTCATAGAATGTAGTGAGTTAATTTGTCACTGTTTCTTGTTTGGATTTCGTTGCTACTTTTATATACGTTTATATTTTCAACATACACTTTTTCCCAATTAAAGATGTATGATCGTAAGGGCATTGTAACATTTTAATTTGTTTGGTATACGGTATTGAGATTTGACTCGTAAGGGCATTGTAACATTTTAATTTGTTTGGTATACGGTATTGAGATTTGACTTTCTCATTTTTTAAAAATTAATTCATGAAACAATTAAATTAAGGTTAGATTACTTTTAACATTTTAATTTCCGTGCATATATAAAGAAACTATAAAGGCTGATTTATTTTTTTTTATAATTAAAACTTTTAGAATTTAAATCTTAAAATTTAAAATTTAATATTTTATTGATAGATTAATTATAAAGCAGTTGGTAAGGCCAATATAATTTCCCTAGCCAAATGGGAAAGCAAAATCATATATATGAAAGAACATAATTATTCATTTCATGTATAAATTATAGTTCATCTCTCACATATATAATTATAGCTATAATAGTGTATGTGTCTATATATATATATATATATATATATATATATTAGGAAGAGGGATAAATTTAAAATGTGAAAAATTAAAAAAAAATTTATATATTTTTTTAATTATTAATTTTAATAGATCTAATAGAGAGAGAGACAAGTAAAAATAAGAAAAAATGGTTTAATTCATTTTTTAAAATCTATTGAAATCAATAGATAAAAAATATATAAAATAACCGTTCTCATATATTAGTGTTTTTTTTTTTTTTATATGATTCCATTTTCTTGTTCCCCTCTATTTTGCTTCTTGATATTAATTAATACATTCAACATGTCATCAACCATTTAATCCACTTTATGACAAACTCATTGATTTCACAGCCAGAAGTTTTTCATTTGCTTAATTTTTGGCAGATTCTTTTCATAAATGTTTGATTTAGGTTTTTGTTTTGCTATCATATGAATGAATCTAAAACCCCTGATAAAATGGCTGCAGCAAAGATATATTTAACTTCCATATAGATTGGTGAAATTTTGAAGCATTTAATGAATAATTACAAGATAATTAAATTAAGATCAATATTGATCGCAAAGAACAATATCTATTTTTAATAATAATATTTCTCAGTATTAACAATTAAAAGGGCAGAAATCTTTCAACAAATGCTATAATTATGTTTGTACAACAAAGTGGAAACCATTATGATAAAAGGAAAAATTATATCAAATATCTCCTTTTACCTTTAATGGAAACATCTATATCCATAGGAAATGATTAGAAATTATAAACTATTATTGCTTCTCCTTTTGTTTCCACTCCAACCCTATGAACCTGCAAGGTGAAAACCTGATCTTATACTCTGAAATCGTCTCAAGTTTAGGCGACCAAACTTGTTCTTTAGGACCAACAAGCATCTCGTAATGCTTTTTCAACTCCGGAGTGCTGCAAAGGAAACTATTCCCAGGACTCCCAGTTCCTTCTTCTTTGCTTCTATGATTGATCAACCTTGTTATAAACTCAGGCACCACCTTGATCAAAACCCTACCATTGGAATCTTTGACATACTCAAAAGGGCACTGACCAAAGTTGACTGGAGCTGGTTTAGAGCTAGAGTTTAAGGCAGCAAGAGAAGAAGCTGACAAGACATTATTGCATGCAAAGCGATCGAGGGGAAGAACAAAGTAAGTTTGGCCTGGCATGAGGTCATCGTCTATGGCTAAAGCTGGGATGGGGTGACCAATGAAGAAAGAATCTGCATGGCAAACCATCCTGTCTGGAAACTCAAACATGACCTCGCCGGCTATATGCTTTCCCGTTAAGATTCTTGTATTTCCTTCCCAGAAAATCAGCTTCACTAAAGACCTTGGGTTTTGTTGGAAACATGGAGATATTGAATTGCCCATATTATATATATGATCTGAATGAGAAATGATGAATTAAACAGAGAGGGGTAATTAAGATTATCTTTACATACAAGAGAATACAAACAAGAGGAAGGCCTGCGTTTTTATAGAAGAGGAGAGAAGGGAAAGGGAAGGATTGACTTGGAGAAAGTCCATATTTGTTGTCTTATAGAGTTTGATGGGTTCGTCGGTCAGCAATGCCGGCTTTCTTTCTCTCAAAATTTTAGTTATTTGGGTTTAAATTTTAAATTTATTGAATATTATTTAATTTTATCACTATTATGATTATTATTTTTACTTGATCATGGACAGAAGTAAAAATCACGTAATTTTATTTAAGACGTGAGAATTTGAACACGCAATATTATATATAATAATCAACAAAAAAATTGGAAATTCAACCATGGAATAATATTTTATCATTAATTAATGATCGTTGTTTTGCTTAACTGGGATAGAAAGAATTTGTGAATCTGGTCAAATTCTGCAAAACTATATGCTGCTTATAATTTAATTTCCGCCCACAAAATCTAGGTTTTAGGAAATATATATAAACTGTAAATTGCCATTGGAATAAAATGAATTTTGACTTTCCCCATTATCTCCACCATCATTACAAGTGTTTATCCACTTTGCAATAAATTTATTTGACAATGATGTTCTTATAGTCTACGCAGAAATTACAATTCAAGTATTAATATTATATTTATTTTATGTCAAATATAAAAATTATTATATCATAATTTGTGTTGATATATTAAATGTGATGTATTTTTTGAGTTTTTATCAAATTAATATAAGATTTTGCTAAAATTTTAAATAATATTATTTTTATTTTTTTATATAATTTTCGTATTATATCATCAAATTATATTTAAAATTATTAAATTAACATATATATTACAACTGTCTATCCACTTTGCAGTAAATTTATTTGACAATGATGTTCTATAATCTATGAAGAAATCACAATTTGTATTAATATTATATTTATTTCATGTCAAATATAAAATTATTATATCATAATTTGTAGATTGATACATTAAATATGACATATTTTTTGAGTTTTTGTCAAATTAATATATGATTTTGCTATAATTTTAAAGAATATTATTTTTATGTCTTTTTATATAATTTTTATATCATATTGTTTTTATATAATTTTCATATAATATTATCGTATTGTGTTTAAAATTATTAAATATATATGTTAAAACTCCTTTCATTTTTTATCTTATATTTTATTTATTTGTGAAGATGACTGCTCATGAATTTCACATGATTTTTTTTTTCAACACGGCTTGAAAAAGTCACATGAATTAAAGCAAGTACCAAATGCAAATGTATTAATTGAAGTCATTTTGAAAAAGAAATGTCCAAATGCAAATGTATTAATTGCTGTCATTTTGAAAAAGAAATGTGCAGCTGCCAATATGCTATATGATCAGACCAAAACTTATCCACTAATTACAATATTTTTCTAAGAAATCAGCCTTGCATAAAACCGCGAAAACCCACGTATGCCTTAATTCCAAGGTGGGCTCGGTATTGTAATCTTATTCATTGTCACTCTAAATAATTAATTTAGGTTTGATCCAATATAATTTTTTTTATTTAAAAGGATTAAAGTTTATATGTTTTTCTCTTTACACACAAAAAGTAATTGGTTAATTCAAGAAAGACTTGTGGGCAGGTTAGAATGATTTGGCAAAAGGAATACATGTCATTTTGTCATATTCATTGATATTTAAACTTGATAATTTAAAATACGATAAAATAATCGAATATGAATATAAAAATTGAATACGAAAATAACATGATTTAAATTTTAATAATAATTATATATAAATTTAATAAATTTTTTAAAAATACATATTTAATTTTTTTTTTATTTTGATATAAATTATAATACATAATTTTTATATAAAATATAATATAATATATAAATATAATATTTTATATTTACATAAATACACGAATTATTTAGTTCTATTAATATTTGACAAGTAGCAAGATAAGGACCATGTCAGCTACTGCAGATTATGTTGACAGGTTTAGGCTATTATTTGTGGGAAAAAAAGAAAACTGACGCCGGCTTGAATGCTAAGTCAGCCAATTAATTGCCCAAAAAAGAAAAAAAAAAACACCCCTGACCACACATGTCAAGCTCAATATATGTAAGCCCCAGCAGGCTTTTTATTTCTTGTTTCCAACTGTTTTCCCAAATTTGTTTCGATTTGTAGGGCTCTCTGTTTGCAATTTTCTTTGTAAAACAAGTTCTATTGTCAGTGATAAAACTTGTCTGATTGGATGACTAATCATAAGTCTTTAAATGGTTCGCATCAATCAAACTTTAGCTTTCTTCCCATTCCTTTTATATTGAGTTCAACACAATTTCCGGTGACTGGAAGCCTTCAATTCAATAAGATTCTCTTTACTAGAATTCATTCAATCTCAATTCATTTTATTCAGGAAAGAGTTGGTCTTTGTTTAATTTTCAGGTTGTTCTTAGCATTTCTAGTTCTTGCTTTTAATGATTTAAGCAATTTTTCGTAGTTTTAAAAACCATAAACTCTATTATCCTTCAAGAGTTGTAAATCATCTAATTAATTTTCACTAAAACCCCGTTTGATGAAGTCAAAGGGTGAAGCCCTTGATTCTCCATCTCATTAATCCAAACAAAAGCTTTGTCCATATTCTCTTCCTAGACAAATCCATTAATAAGAGTGGTACATGTCATGCTATCAGCAACAATTCCTGCTGATGAGATCATCTTGGATAGAAACTCATAAGCTCTTGATGGATCACCTGATCGACAATAGCCCTTTATGATACTGTTACGAGTCACAAGAGTGGGCTTAATACCATTTCCACAACCTGAATGCCTCCAGAACATGACCTATGCCGCAAAACCCATTTAGCAAAGTTCCATAAGAAATGCGATTAGGAAGAATCTTTCTTGAGATCATACCAGCACAAAGCGGCTTGGCTTTCTCCATTTCAATTAAGGTGTTGTATGTCACAGTGTCAGGATTAATATTCCTTTGAGTCATTGAATCAAACAAGTTTTTAGTCTTCTGCTGCTTAGCCTAGTGGCCAAAACAAACTTAAAGAAGATATTAAAGTCGGGGTTTAAACCCCAGCCTTCCCCTCTTTCCTTTAATACAGGGCTCTGCCCCTTAAATGATAAAAAAAAAAAAAGCTTTTAGAGCTTTCTTCATATTATTTCCATCCTTACAATTAATGTCCATGAATGAGCATTGTGAAAGTGTAAAAATCAGGGAAAACACCCCTTTCTGCCATCTCATGCAATAGGTTGTCTGCTTCAGTGAGCATGTTCTCCCTGCATAGCCCATCCAAAATGGTATTGTAAGTAACAACATTCATATTACATCCCATGACACCATTTCTGCAATACCCGTTTATAAGAATCAACCCAACTCTCTTCATATTATGCTTAATCAAAATGTCCATTTCTACAAAATACCCCAATAAGTGAACTAAAGCTGAGCAAATCAGGAACGACACTTCGACCGACGCAACATTTCA